GAGCAGTTTTGGGACGACCTTCTACCAGAAATTTTACGAAAATGAAACAATTAAAATCTACAAATCAAGCATCGCATTATACACCTGGCCACATCATTAAGCTGGGTTTAGACAGGACAAGTCAATTGATCAAGTCAGTTGAATTCAACTGACTTGAACGCGAATTGAACGTGTAAACCATGCCATTCAACTGACTTGATCAACTCACTTGAATTGAAAAAAGTTGAAACAGGCTCTACTTTTCAAGCCAGTTGAATTCAACTGATCATTTGACTTGCCTAGTCTAAACCCAGCTTTACAATCGCAAGGGATAGGAAGAGGAAAATTAGTTCAACATCTACTTAAGAAGGTGTAGGGAACCCATACTACCTTCATAGATGCCACGGGAGGGATCATTTGTGTTAGTAGGAAATGGAATATATTAAGGAATGTCTATCCGAAATTATAAAGTAAAGGTTAAGTGAAAATCTAAACAAATTTAAATCAATACAAAAAGAAAGATCTCACCAAAATTATCTGCTATAAGTCTGTCTTTCCATGTTTTCGCAGCTGTTTCATGCATCATCCTTGCCAATACTCTCCAGCAAGCGTTTTCTTTTCACACCGAAGCATTGAGACCATTCATCACACGTCACCCTGATTCCAAAAATACCCAAATCAGTATTTCCCAATCGGAAGCCGCCATCTTGGATTTCAAAATGGCCAATCACCCCGATTATAAAAATACCCATATTGATGGGTAAACACATCAACAACTGATAAATTTGACTTCCACGTGCACTGATCTATACTGCCTATAATCGCATATCAGTCCCATATGGATTTTGGTCAATTTTAAGATAATAACGCTATCCACTATCAATTGCCATCTACTTTCATATTACGTGATAAAACTACGGACTTTAATAATGAAAAATGTGAAAACAACATCAAGTCAGTTTGTCCCATCTAGCAAAGTAATCACATATCAGTTTCATCGTGAACTTAAATCGTCCAGAGGTTAAGTTACAGTTCTGAATCGCCATATTTTTCGCTGATATAACGAACCATGCAAGCTGCATTGCTACTGATTATAACTTGACAAAATTATCGATTAATTTACTATGATTTTTTTTTAAATATTTACACAGAAATTGCACTTCTTAACTTCAACTGCCATTTTGTCAATGTCTACTTTTTTCATATGGGACTGATATGAGATTATAGGCAGTATACGTATGCGCTTAGAGGACGGAAGGCGCTTAGAGTATGTGCAGCAGATGACGGAACTGACCCAACTCCCACGCTGAGGGAAGTTAAGGACTCCATTCAGCAGCTCAAAAACAACAAAGCAGCTGGTAAGGATGGTATCGCAGCCGAACTCATCAAGATGGGCCCAGAAAAGTTGGCCACCTGCCTGCACCGGATGATAGTCAGGATCTGGGAAACAGAACAGCTACCGGAGGAGTGGAAGGAGGGGGTAATCTGCCCCATTCATAAGAAAGGCGACCATTTGGAATGTGAGAACTTCAGAGCGATCACCATTTTAAATGCCGCCTACAAAGTGCTATCCCAGATCATCTTCCGTCGTCTATCACCTAAAATGACCGAGTTCGTGGGAAGTTATCAAGCCGGCTTCATTGACGGCCGATCGACAACGGACCAGATCTTCACCGTACGGCAAATCCTCCAGAAATGCCGTGAATACCAGGTCCCAACGCATCATTTGTTCATCGACTTTAAGGCGGCATACGACAGTATCGACCGCACAGAGCTATGGAAAATCATGGACGAGAACGGCTTTCCTGGGAAGCTGATCAGACTGATCAAAGCAACGATGGACGGTGTGCAAAACTGCGTAAGGGTTTCGGGTGAACTATCCAGCTCATTCGAATCTCGCCGGGGACTGCGACAAGGTGACGGACTCTCATGCCTACTCTTCAACATTGCTCTAGAAGGTGTAATGCGACGAGCCGGGCTCAACAGTCGGGGTACGATTTTCACGAAATCCGGTCAATTTGTGTGCTTTGCGGACGACATGGACATTATCGCAAGAACATTTGGAACGGTGGCAGAACTATACACCCGCCTGAAACACGAAGCAGCAAAGGTCGGACTGGTGGTGAGTGCGTCAAAAACATAGTACATGCTTGTAGGCTGAACCGAACATGACAGGATTCGTCTGGGAAGTAATGTCAAGATAGACGGGGATACTTTCGAGGTAGTGGAGGAATTCGTTTACCTTGGATCCTTAATGACGGCTGACAACAATGTGAGTCGTGAAATACGAAGGCGCATCATCAGTGGAAGTCGTGCCTACTACGGGCTCCAGAAGAAACTACGGTCAAAAAAGATTCACCCCCGCACCAAATGTACCATGACCGGTGGTCCTCTATGGACACGAGACATGGACTATGCTCGAGGAGGACCTGCAAGCACTCGGAGTTTTCGAGCGACGTGTGCTAAGGACGATCTTCGGCGGTGTGCAGGAGAACGGTGAGTGGCGGCGAAGAATGAACCACGAGCTCGCTGCACTCTACGGCGAATCCAGCATCCAGAAAGTGGCCAAAGCCGGAAGGATGCGGTGGGCAGGGCATGTTGCAAGAATGCGGGACAACAACCCTGCAAAGTTGGTGTTCGCAACTGATCCGGTTGGCACAAGAAGGCGTGGAGCGCAGAGAGCACAATCCGCGGACCAGGTAGAGCGTGATCTAGCGAGCATTGGGCATGACCGAGGATGGAGAGCGGCAGCCGCAAACCGAGTATTGTGGCGTACTATTGTTGATTATGTCTTATCTTAAATGTGATGTTGTACAAATAAATGTATGTATGTGTACGTATGCGCGTAAATGAACCGAGTGAACAATCAACAAAAGTCAGAAAAACTGCGCAAATTTGGATCGAACAGCTTCGCTTCAATGCGAAAGTAAGTTCATTTGCAAAGACGAAATGAACTCGAGTCAAGCCAAAACAAACAGAATGAAAACTGATCGAAAGTGGTCCTGTTGTTGATGTTGAAGGGGATCTACTCGAAGAGAAGACAGAATGACTTTCAAATGATAGCTTCGTCGTAGCTTGACAAGTAAATTTAGTAAAGTTCCAAGCAAGGTAGATACTTCCTATATATACACTTGGCCACGTTACTGTTTGTAATTATTGAAAATAATTGATTTTCTCTCTTCTCCTATTCTGAATATCAACGATACCTACCAAGGAAACAGCGCCATCTCAAGGCATTAAGGACGCATGACTTTGGGGTGGGCAGGTGGTAACCTGCTCGAAATTTACCATGACAGCACTGCTTTCGAACCAGGTTTGAATTTTCGGATAACATCGAGGACAGACAAGCATGTATGTTTCCATTTTCATTTATTTGTAAGTTTAGCAAAATTCATAATCCTAACTTGGAAAAAGCGAACTCATCCTCTGCAGTCAGCTTGCGTACGGTTTCCCCTTTATTTATTTGTTTAGTACAACCGTGGCGTTTGCTTCATCCTCTTCACAACATTCTATGAGCTTTTGATTGTTTGCCATTCTTCAACTCACAGTTACTAAATCATTATTTTTTTTTAAACATTACAAAAAACTCTAATCTGCACTGGATATGTGTAGCCCTACCATCTAATAAAGTGTTTCAATAAATTATGCCGCGTTCTACTGGGAGTGTTTCAGGGTTTTGGGATAATCATAACCATCACATCAGATATTTAGTGTGGGTCAACTTTACAATTCCCTGTTCCCCAGTGCTCTTTCAATGCGTATTGAGGTCAACTGTGCAACATTTGAAACGAATTTGGTTATAATCTCTAGTTGCGAAAGAATTTTACATTTCGTACGAACATTTGCTTACCAAAAATATAAGTATTTATCAAATTTCATCAAATCTCGGACATTGATTGAGAATACTTTGTCGAAGACTTCAAATCGATCTGATCTTTGAACGGAAAGTTACTAATCCTTCACTTTAGACCAAATATTCCACACGTACACGGCCAATCATACCAATTCAGAGAATTTTCTTTCCATACGAAATTTACTCAGATTTGGAAGAAACTGCAGTTACTCATAGCTTATGAGTAACTGCAGTTTTTTTAAATCTGAATAAATTTCGTATGGAAAGAAAATTCTCTGAGTCAATTTTTCTCAGTCGCTGAGTTGTTATGATTGGTCGTGTACCTACAAGCTGATATATACGCCTGCAAGTATGCGCGGTGCAAGAGGTCTAAATTAATATAATAATAACTTTTTTCTCAGAAGTCTAATCGATTTGCAGTCTTCGACAAAGTTGTCCTACATAGTATTCCCAATCAATTGCCGAGATTTGGTGAAATTTGAGCAATATTTGAATTTGTGGCTAGCACATGAATGGGGTCGTTTCGTTTCCCATACAAAATTTAAAATTATCCCGCCAATCCAGATAATACCCAAATTCGTTCAAATTTGACACCGTTGTTAGGAACCTCAATGCAGATCGAAAAAAAGCAGTGGGGAACAGGGGGTTGTTCTAAACCATGCAAACTTGCCCCACCCTAAAAAGTAGTTATATGGTGTGCGTGATTTTCCCTTCCGCTTCTGCGCTCCTCCTTCAGTAATAAATTACATTCAATAATTTAGTTGCGTTCACGTTGTTTGACTACAAAATAAATTAAAAACAAAAAAAAAGGGTTTCCGTTTTCTTTTCTTCGTTTACATTGATTTTCTATACACGAGTGACTTAACTAAATCTTACTCATTTGAACTAAATACGAACTAAACGGATGCGGGTTCCGTTTTCGGTGATTGTTTTTTTTTGTCTAAAAAAAATATATTCGTTAAAAACAGTCGCTAGAGGCTGGCGAGCCTTCGAAAAGGAAAGGAGTAAAAAATTAGACTTTCTGTTGGGAAAAGTGTAAATTTTACCAGAAAAAGTTTCGTCGAAAAATGTTCATCAAGTCTTGTTTTTCTCAGTACGTTTCAATTTGAAATATTCTGGCAGTCGAATTTTTTACTTTAGGTCAAAGCGCGTTCGGTTGTGCTCAACGTTTTTAGTACAACCTATAACTACTTTTAAACAGCCTTAACGCTAGAAATATAAAATAAGGACAGCTTGTGGCAATGAACAAGAAGGGAAGGCGGGACTGGGAAGTGGTCTTAGAAACTGATTTGTTGGCATTTGTGGTTGTTTAGGTTTTAGTACAAATAGTTGTGCGACGGTTCCTCGGGCCTTCCGCAGGGTCCGTCGTGCTTCTTGTGGACTAGCGATCTCGATCGGCAGTTTTCGATGCTGAGGAAGCAATCGTTGGAGTAGGTTTTGCCATCGGTACCGCACACGGGTTCGAACTCCTGCGGACAGATCCTCGAGCAGCCCTTGAAGGTGAACGCCGCCAGGCAGCGCTTCATTGGCACGATGAACATGTGTTTGCCACAGTTCTCCTTCCGCATGTAGCACTCGTTCGGATACAGTTTGTTGTCCGATCCGCAGATGTAGCTGGTGGGCTCGGTTTCGCAATTAGCCTCGCAGTGAGCCGTGGTGGCGCAGTTCTTGAGCGACACGGGGACCACTCGTAGACCGCAGGTCTTCTGTTTCAGTTCACACCGGGATCGGTAGGTGTTTCCGTCGGAGCCACAGATTGGTCCAACCTGGTCTTCGTCGTAGTTGCAACCCGAGCAATCGACGATGTCGGTCTTGGACTTCAGCTGGGTGCAGGCTCCGATGTGAGCCATCTGGACTCCACGCCTGGAAAAGGAACGGTTAGCGATGGCGATAATGCTACACTAAAATTGGTCTAAACTTACAGACATGTGGCTCTAGCCAGTTCACATTCGTTGTTGTACGTCCGCGAGTCGGTACCGCACAGTAGGTCCTTCTGATCTCCGAACATCGATGCACTGTTCTTGCTGTGATGCTTGCAGGCCGGGATAGATTTGCAACGGCTCATCTTCTGCTTGCAGCGATCGATCGTCACGGCCTGGATCTTCTTGCGTTGTCTGAAATGGTTCCGCTTTTAGAACAAGTTCCGAGCGTCTTGTCTCACTTCCATCTACTCACCCACAGTTCAGCATCTTCAATTCACACATCGAAGTGTACACATTTCCGTCACTTCCACAGATCATCTGCTGAGCTTCCCGAGAGCAATCCGTAGGGCAGTCCTCTATCTTGTTGGTGGCGGCCGACGAGCTTCCTCCAGCACGTTCCTGGGACATACAGTACGAGATCGGTACTTCGAAGACGTGCTTGCCACAGTTGGTCGATCGCATCTTACAGGCACTGGCATACAGGCGGCCATCGGATCCACACGTTGGGCGGGCAACTCTCCAGCAGGATTCCCGGCAGTTACGGGTGCTCTGGCAGTGCTTCCGGCTTGTTCTGACCTACAAAAAGAAAAATCGTCCAATTCAAAACATCATCTCGAATTTTTGGGCTGTGCCTATTCAGTCTTATGAAGCTGCCCCAGTTCAGTTGGGGAATACCTACCACACCCTGTCCGCAGGTGATGAGCTTCATCTGACAGGTGGAGTTGTACACATTACCGTCCGACGCGCAAACCGGTCCATCTTGAGGGGCACTAGAATAGGCAAAAAAATCACAATCAAAAACCCCGCTCGGAATCAATTCCAAGTTAATCTAAAGTATGCCTGTTGCAATCCACTGGACACGATTCTCGGATGATGCTTCCGTTGGCGCAGGGTCCCACGTGAGCTATAGATACGGCGGCGGGACCAACTCGGCAGGCCTGCACTCGCAGCATACAGCGATTCAGGTACGTCCGACCGTCGGTTCCGCACACCAGATCCTTCTCCGTCGGACAGCGATGACTGCAGGGGGATCCCTTGGCTCGCTCGCACCCATCTTTGTCCTCGGTCACGCTGTTCGGAGCGTTCTTGGTACAGGTCTTCTTCTTCATCTCGCAAATGTTGGCGTAGATCAGGCCGTCCGATCCGCAGACCGGATCCACCGGGGTCGTCGCCGGTGGGCATGATCGCGGACAGTGTGACGATACGGCTTTGCTCTGCCGGGCGGAGGCTTCTGTGTCGACTAGAGTGGGTGTGGCTTCTATAAATGGAATCAGAAAAAAAGAAACAAGGATCAATTAGCGATTCAGTTAGGCTTTCACTCGGATCAATTTCTTGGAATAAACCCACGGCACGTCTCTAATGACTTTTCCATTTGCCTTGCAGATTCCGTGGCAGGCGATCGTGATCGACGTGCTCTGATTTATTCCGGCTTTATTGAGTTTATTGAACAACAAAATTCGCCAAGCTTTGATCTGGCACCGCAAAATGCAAACACATTAGCCCGCCTCAATCACGATACCGTTAAATCGCAAACGGCCTGATTAAGTCCGACGTTGCTAGGACAACAAACTGTGTCCCACCCACGTTTCTCCACAGATCCGGCATTCTTGATTGTTCTTCGGTGGAGCGATCGGCTGAGGTTTTCTCCCCCACACACACACACACACAAAAGCTGTCACCGCTCTGAGCTCTTGCCTTCAGCCAGTTAGGCAACCGAGCAGAGTTTGGCCTTACTGCCATTATTCTCAAGAGCAATGTCACTACGTTGACCTTAAACTGTAGCGCCAGTTGACAAGACAAGGCCCCTTCGGCAAACTCACGGACTGCATCCGTCCGTCTGGGGGCCGGTGTGCTAGTGGCCTAGATTTGATTCTGTATCGGGTGAAGTAAATTGCATTTTCGAATGGAAAGTGCCCTTCCGGGTGTGACGAGTTGATTTGAAAGGCATGTGTTGAATTGAAATTAATTTGATTAAGGCTCAAATGCAATGGTTACTTCCAGAACTTTTATCTAGGGAAGACTGAGGATGGAATAATTGCATTCACTTTTAGAATGTGGTAAATTTTTGTAAGTGTAAGAAACATTGGGATATTTCTTAGTCCGTTTCTTGATTTCGACTTAAATATTGCCAAAAAATTAACATTTGGCGTCAGATTTGAGAACCAAAATTAAGGGGGTTAGAAGGAAAGGGGGTGCAAGTGACTTTGATCGATTATCTTCATCGACTTTCTATTCCGTTAATAATTCAGTTGCAAACACATTCCTTGATTCGTGTGCCATTCTGGATGCTAGATGAGAACCTCCTTTATTAAACTATGTGGCAGAAATAGCGCAAAATCTGTTTATAAAGCTGTGGCTATCAAAAGAGAAAGTCGATGAAGAGAATCGATCAAAGTCACTTACACATTTTTCCTTCTAACCCCCTCAATTGACAATCTTCACTGACAGTCATTGATAATGAAATTTGAATGCACTAAACCAAAACTATTCGCAGAAGGCCATGTTCTCATGACAACGTGAAAGCAACACAGTTTGGAGTCAAAATCGAAGAAAAATAAAGTTTGTCCGGCTTTATAGCATTTCAGCTGTGCCATCGCCGATTTTTCACATTTAGAATGAAGAAAATAAAGAGTTAAAACATTAATACAAAGTGATGCAGTCTATAATCGAGCTGACAATCATGCTTGCACGGCGAATCATACCAACTCAGCGACTGAGATTAATTGACTCAGAGAATTTTATTTCCATACGAAACTTACTCAGATTTGGAATAAACTGCGATGGTTCTTGATGTTCTTTGAAGTTCCCTTAAATTCTACAACGTTCGTTTTGCTTTAAAGAAGCTATCTTAAGTTTTACTAGTTTATAAAAAAATCATAATGGCTCTAATTATCAGCCAGCTCAGCACAACCCACACTTTAACGGATTTTTCCACAAAATGGCAAGGGGTATTCTGCACACCTTAATCTGCGAGTGATTTAGATAATCCGAAAGCTGTGTCATGTGATATGCCGAACTTGCTGAAGTAGGCCGAAGTAGATCAAAGTGTGCCAGTTTGGCAACCCTGCAGTGATTGTGTTTATATTTTCATTTTCGAAGCGGTAGATGAAAGAGCAACTGGAAGTTATCAAACCTATTGATGAATTTACGCGAAACTGCACCAGTGCATGCAACCCCTAGGTTTAGATTCCAAAACCATAAAAGTGATGATGTACTAAAAAATATTCCATGCGATTTGACAGCTAGCAAAACGTCATTATCATTTTCACATCATTTCCATCTGCCGGTCGACCGTAAAGTAGATTCATCAATACGGTGTTCAAGCAAACTCAACCGATCCACAAGATTCTGACTCGATGTCTATTTGAATTACTGATTCCTTTCAAGTGTGCAGAAACGAAGTCGTAACCTGATCGATGGAGAAATAAAATGTCACCGGCATCCTTTGAAATCCTCTACAACTAAAGCAAACAATGAACTCGAACGGACGGAAAGATGAACGACGCGTCGAGTACCTAGTGCGGACCCAGAGCCATCCCTGCAAGAAGATGATAAGTAGTAAACTCTGCCTGGATGAGCCGGATTGGAATCTGGAAATCTGTGTTGCACAGTGTAGTTGACCCACCGACAAACCGACATGAATGACCATAACCAAAACCATAAAATTTCTGACCAAAGCACACTACTGACATCTGGCTCCGTGTTCGCGGGAAATATTTAGCAAAAGTTATGAATTGGCTCGTGTCTGATCTATTTTGGACAAATTATTTTTATCTAGATAAAAAAATCCTATGGTTTTGACAGTTCGGATCACTGCACATTTAAATCGGCCGTTTACCATTTTCGGACATAAGTCAGAATTGAATGTCATGTCGATTTGTCGGTTGTTGACCCATATGCACGCCCATAGGCTCTTGGGTTCCGGGTCATTTGGCCGAATGCCATATGGCCTAATGTCATTTGGTGGAATGGGTCGTTTGGTCGAATGCCGAACAACAAAACTTCAAAGAACTTCTCATGTTTGAAATGAGGAAAAAAATTCTGATTTGTATTAATTTATGACAAACTGCGTTTACTATGCAAAAAAATAATAAGATCATCAAAACTCCAAAGAACAGCTCATATTTAACATGGTGGCTAAAAATACCAATACCAAAATACTAAAAGCATTTTAAAGCTTATCTTTAAAAGAATAACGAATCCATCAACAGTATAAAATTTCAGTTTTATGCAATATACAATTTAACAAAAAATCCTATATTTATAATGTCAAAAAACCAGAATTTTGGATAGTAAAAAAAAGTCCACATGGATGCCGTTTAAGGTGATACTCTAAGGAAGCCTTAGCGTGAAACTTTAAAGGCACAAATGTCAGCTTCCACAAAACATACAAATAAGAAATTGCTAATCCTTGTTTGCTGTGCTACTACAAACAGAGAGTAGCAATTTCCAATTTGTATGTTTGTGGAAGCTGACATTTGTGCCTTTGAAGTTTCACGCTAAGGCTTCCTTAGAGTATCACCTTAAGAATCTAGTAGTGTTCAAAAATTGGAAAACTCTTTTCCAGTATTCGGCCAAAGGCATTCGACAAAATAGCGTTCGTCCAAACGGCATTCGGCAAAATGGCGTTCGGCGAAACGGCATTCGGCCAAACGGCATTCGTCCAAACGGAATTCGGTCAAATGGCCGGGCTTGCGGCTCTTGCGAGGCTCTTGCTAAACAGCAAACTGCTTAGGGTCATCATGCGCAAACCGCTGGGCGCACCGAAACTCACACGGTTTTACAGTTGACCGATCGGTAGGCCACTAGACTGATGCAAAATTTGAAATTTTCTCTCCCCAGTGCTTAAACGGTTCCAAATTGGGTCCTGCTTAGCCTCCCAAAATTTGAACTACTTTAGTAAGAAACTGACTTGGCAGTTTTTATGGGAATTACTATGGGAAAACTTATGTTTTTGTTCATATCAAAGTAACAATTCACCACATCACTATGCTTTTCAAAATGATAGTGACAGTGATTGTAGCAAATTTTCTCAGCTACAACTTTGTTGAAAACCATTTTTCAACCAAATATAAGGAACAAAAGTTATTAATGATTCTAGTCACTGATGTCTTATGATTATGCTCATTCAACTGTTCAGCAGGCCACATTGGTGTTTCTGGTGCGAAGAATAGAGCACAAATATCATGGCTACTATGTCACACTGCAGAATACAGTGTTGCCCACAGAACAGCTGCTTGATCATGCCATAAGATTATCAATCTTTTCAAAAATTAATAACAATTTAATTTGATATTTGGCTGAAAAGCGATATTGCGCAAAGTTGTAGCTTAGAAAATTTCCCGTAAGAATCGGTATAGAAATTTTCAAAAAAGCAATATGGAAAATAGGTAGAGGACAATGAACAAAAAGTTTGGGTTTTCAATAGTAATTTCCATATAAACTTCGAATAGTTTGTGCCAAGTCAGTTTCTTACCAAATAAGTTTATATTTTGGGAGAGAAGAACGAAGTAGGTCGCGCTGGAAAATTGACACGTTTTTCTTATTTTGCTGCTGATTTTCATTTGGTGATTTTAACCATTGTTCATGTTTAAACAAACTTCCGATAGTTCAATTGTTCAAAATCTCATGGACGGGATCGAAATATGGCGGATGATTAGTGAAAAAGAAAAAGAAAAAAGGAAGATCCAGGAGCGGTGTTTGTTGGGAACTGTCTTAGCTGATGGGCAACGAAGATCCCAAGATCATCACGATGGTGTGAATCCAGCAGGCTTAGTGATACCGAGAGATACCGGACTGTTGCATTTGATGTATCTCTTTCCGAGGGCTGGCAAGGAGTAGCGGTTTTCCTTAATCAAGATCAGGGATGGAAAATCATTTACATTCATTTCGTGCATTCATTTACATTCATTTGCCTTTAACTTTTTTCATCAACAGAATTCCATAAAGTAGTGTTTGTAGGTTTTGTAGGCTTTGCTATTAGCTACATCTTTTGTCAACAACTTAAATCTGTATTTCTTATGCATGATGAATCAGAGTGATAAGAACCCACCTTTGTTTTTCAGTGAATGTAAATTGCATTCACTGAAAAACAATAACATGTTCTGCCAGCTCTATTTCATCATGCATAAAAGATACAGATTTTAGTTATTAACAAAAGTTGTAGTTCATATCAAAAACTACAAAAGCTTCATACGTCATTTTACGGTATTCTGTTGATGAAAAAAGTTAGAGGCAAATGAATGTTAATGAATGCAC